ACTAATCATCCCACCCTCTCTTGACCCCCCAACCACCTCCCCCTCCACTCCCACGCCGCGTCCCTCAGACAGGCTCGGCCTTGGCCCCGGAGAGGCATCCCCCATGCCCCCCCGGCCCTCCCCGTACCCCCTAAAAATTTGTTAAAACATCCCACTAAAAAAGTTCTCAATTTCCTCCTCTTCAGTTCTTTTTTTGCTGCGAGCCTCTGGGGGTTCCATACCCCGTCATTAAGGACGGCCCTCAAGATTATACTGGGCCGTACCTGCGCGAGGGGGGAATCGCGCAGGGCCAGCAGTTCCGACCTGGAGTATGCTCCGAACATGAGTACAAGGTCCCAACAAACAGAAAACACACGGGGGGGGGAAGTCCTCTTGATGGTCAGTTCCCTTTTCAAGACTTGGGATAAGCGAGACGCCCGGCCGCTAAAGTTGGGTCCACAGCTGGGCTCTTTGGGCCGGATCCTCCACCGGACCGCCGAAACCCCGGCCTCTACCCTCGCCGAGTCCACCGCCGAGTCTATAGGCCGAGTCCGTAGGCCAGATGCTCCGCCGGGCCGCCGGGCCGCCAGGCCTCCTCGCCGAGTCCGCAGGGCAAGCCACCGGCCAGATCTGCTTCCGTCGCGGCCTCCCCGGCCGTCGCAGCCGAGTCCGGGTCCGGATGCATCTATCGCCTCCATCGCGGCCTCCGTCGCGGCCTCCATAGCTGCCGCAGCCTCCACAGCTGCCGCGGCCTCCAGCTCCCAAATCCGCGGCCTCCAAATCCAAATCCGTCGCGGCCTCCGCTGTTATCGAGGCCGTGACCGAATCCAGGCCAGGTTTTCCATCGGGCCGGATCCAGGCCAGATCTTCCGCCTGGCTTTGCCAGGCTCCGCCGGGCTCCGCCGAGCACCGGCCCTTCGCCCCTTCAATATCCTCACCAGACTAAACTGCTGGCGAGTTCAGCTCTCCAAATTGGATCACAGGAGAGCCCTCGGCCTGCGGGAGGCCCCCCATTTTCTGTTTAGGGCTCCGCTCCGCTCCGTCACGGAGCCACCCCAGGTAGGTCCGCCATGTTGCGCACCGTGAGAGGGGATGGTTCGCATTTGTGGCTGGCAAGCCACCGCGGCCTGCTGCTCGCACAAATGGAGCACGCGCGCAGGCACTCGCCTGCTGCTTGTGCAAGTTTAAGTTTAAGTTTATTATATTATATTTATATCCCGCCGTTCTCCTGGTGGACTCAGGGCGGCTTACAGCCAGTTAAAACAAAACAATTAATACAAATATACAAAGTTTAAAATAAATTAAAAAATATATTTAAATAGGCCTTTTCTTTTAAAAGTTGATTAAAATCCAATTTTAAAATATCCCTAGGCCAGTCCTGCCAGCTGAAACAGCCATGTCTTGAGGGCGCGGCGGAAGGAGGGGAGATCCGGAATCAAGTGAGGATGCGTTCACGTGCTCACCAGCCTTTTCCGCGGCCTGATTGTAATCCCCTCACGGCCCACTAGTGGGCCGTGGCTCACAGGCTGGGGACCCCTAATTCTAAAATCTTGCTACCCTTCCTCATGTATAGTTAATTCCAGGTTTTCATGTTACTCAGATCCATCCAATGGCATGTGTTTGTGTGTAAGACTTCAGTTAAATTTTCAATTCATAAAACTATTGCTTCTTCATCTTCAAAAATTAGCATAGGGACACAAGGCAAACCAATGCCATTAATTATGATTTGATTATGCTGGAGGATTTACTTTTTGACTCCTCTAAAGATTAAATAGAAAGGGTTTTTTTTCTTTCTTTTTCTTTAAAAGACGGATTCCTGTATTATGACAAGCCTTTTTTTTATCAATGACTTCCCCAAAGGAAATTATTGTTACTTTAAGATAAAATTAACACAAAACAAGGATCATTAAAATGACTCGTTCTCCAAGAACCCATGCTAATATTAGCTGCAGAGGGCCCTTCTTGAAGTTCTGGTGGCATCATTTTCCTTTTTGTATGAATGCTGATAGAAATAAGTGCTGCTGCATACAGAAGGCAACTTGTCTGAAATCTTGTCAGGAGGAAGTAATGTACCAATAAAAGGTACATTAGGGAATATTTGCTAGTCATCTTCCGCAGAGGCATTCTCTTGTCTGCACTGAGCTCTTTTCCTCCCTTCCCCATCCTTTGTTAACTAGTTACAAACATCAAACTACAAAGTAGCCAACTACCTTTGGCTATTTAGTATAATTATGGATGAATGTATAGGAACTGCTTGTGATAATGTAAGAAGCTAAGTTACAAAGCATCGTTATATGGTTTCGCTAGTTTGACTTCGTCAACCGGTCTCTGGGGTTATTGGCCTTATTTACGATTATGCATTTTTTAAAAAAAGAAATGTTATTGATTTTCTAGTTTTACATTTAAATATTTGAAAAGCAACGTGGTGGCTGAGTTGATCAATGATTCAATAACATACAAATATCTTTAATACGGATCTCAAATTATTACATTAAGTTACCTGCCTGAGCAGGGGGTTGGACTTGATGACCTCCAAGGTCCCTTCCAACTTTATTATTATTATTATTATTATTATTATTATTATTATTATTATTATTATTATTATTATTATTATTATTATTATTATTATTATTATTATTTCCTTTCCTTTCCTTTCCCCTTGGTATTTACTGTCTCATATTTAAACTAATACAATTCTAACATTCAATATTTTTAGACAATCAATGTCCTAGTTTTTCCCTATTTTTAGTTTCCCATTAATATTTAAATTTAACGTTTAATATTTATAATTTCCAAGTTTTAAATAATCCCAATTCCCTTTATCACAATTCATCACAAGATCTAATGTTCAGGATACACGTCTTATCTATTTGAATTCTCACCATCTTACATCAACTAATTAATAATACAATACGACGATTATGCATTTTATCTGAACATGGCCTGCTCTAGAGAGGATTCAAGGTATACTTGAATTGTTTAGCATTGTCTACATACAAAAATCCATGTACATTCGTTTCACAAGACAATTAGCCTCTTACATTATCACAAGCAGTTCTTATATATTCATCCATAATTATACTAAATAGCCAAGGGATCATAATCAAATTCATCTATAATAAAGATTCTACTATAAAACGTGTACAGTGCTTGATAAAAGGCACTTGCTGTATGTTTTAGAGTTTCAGAATGGAGGGAGAGGAAACCCTGTTTTCAAGTGTCTATAAAAATTAAGATTAGTAATCAAGAATCAGATTTAGAGAAATGCTATATTGAGTGAGTGCACATGTATGTTGAATAAAACATTATCACCCATGGCAACTTCAGATGGCCTCAACCTATACTGTTAAATGCATGTATATTACCACATTTTCAGTATGTATGTGTGTGTGTGTGTATGTATACAAACATTAATACACATACACACACCTATCTAGGAAACTTTTTTTTAATAAAAGACAAATTATTGTTTTTGGCAAATAATTCCCTTGTAGTTTTGTCTTTATTATAATACAAAAGTAGTCCACAGTTCTTTGCTGTGTCTGTACCTTAAAAATCAAGAAAAACTACTTTCAATTAACTGAATTGAATTAAAAGGAGAAATAGGGTATTTTTATGTAATTAGTACAAAAATTGACTGAAATATTTGTTGAAAACAAGATATGAAGACCCACATCTCAGGTAGACCTCAAGTAACAACTAGATTCCTGGTTGTAAGTTATTACAGTCATAAGTCGAGGCTGTTTTTATGACATTTTTGCAGAGCGCATTAAGCAAATCAGTGCGATCATTAATTCCTTTCTTCTAGGGTCAACATTACTTTTAGCTCTCAAGCTGGCAATGAATTTATTTTAGTCTATTGTATACTGGAAAGTCCATAGTTCTTTGGGGAAACTGAAGGATGTTTCACTCTTTGTGGTCTGTTATAAAGTAAATAAAATTTATAGTAAACTAAACATTGGTTATAGCCCAGTGATGGTGAACATTTTAGAGACCGAGTGCCCAAAAACTGGCCCCGGCCCCGCTCCATCCCCTGCCCTGCCCCCCATCACCCGTCCTGCCTGCCCACAGGACCACTCACCACCTCCAGGGCCCGCAGATCGCCCAGGCAGCCCAGCAACGCTATGGTGGCCACACCCTCTGCCCGCGCCCTGCAGCATCAACTGTATGATGGGGTGTGAGGGCAGAGTCTTGTCTACGCTGCCTGGCTGCCATGTCCTTGGCTGCGCTGCTCCATGTGGGCCACGCTCGGGGGTGACTCTCCTTCAGGGGGGCTGCTGGAGAGGAGGGGGTCGCAGGGAGGCAAGGCTGGGGCAACGGCACGTGTGCCCACAGAGAGGGCTCTGAGTGCCGCCTCTGGCACCCGTGCCATAGGTTCGCCACCACTGTTGTAGCCTATTTCTACTAATTGAAACATCAACTTAATTGTTTTTGCTTTAAGCCTTATATCATTTCTAGAAAATGCACCAATCAGATATAATATCTGGTTATCACAGATGCAACTGAATTTCAGCATTAAAAAGAAAGCATTTGAAATAAAGCTTTATTTTTTAAAATATTTATCAAAATAAATAGTAATTATATAATCTCTATAATATTTACTCCCCATTAACCACCATAAAATCCTCCACATAATTAGGCGGGTTATAAATGTTTTGTATAAAATAACCAAAATGAATGTACAGACTAAGGACCCCTAGCTAATTGGAACTCAGACTGAATTAAGTGTTTATAGGAATGCTTTTTTAATTTCCGAATAAAATTAAAGCTGTTTCATCCACTGTACNTCTGCAAAAATGTTCTGTATGGGATTTGTAAGCAAATAGTACCAAAGTTTAAGAATCAGTTCTTGGATTCTTTGCCCAGAGTTAAAGTATTAATTCAAGAAAATTTCAACAGCACACATTTCTTACCTTAAAGTGACTGGAGGGCTACTGCCATGTAATAGTATTTCGGGTACAGTCTACAGGCAAATGGTAGAAATCAAAAAAAGAAATAAAACAACAATTTCCAAAAGCAAAATAGCATGGCTTTCTCTTTCACTGGTTATATAATCATCAGTCCCCCAAGTGTGCATTTTGAAACCACACAGCTTTATATACCTGTCTCTTAAGAGCTTTATATACCTGTCTCTTACGGTACATTAGCTTTGCTGGCAACAATTTACACCCTTCTGAAATCAACAGCCGTTAATACCCTTCTTAATGATTCTTGATTCTTTCAGTTGCTATCACCGTAGCAGTTAGCAGTCTTATCATTCAAGTGCCCATGAATTCCCTGCTCTTGTTATCAGGAAAGGTAGCGAGGCAAGCAAATCAGCATCCAATCTGCAGCTGGTATGCTGTAATCTACCAACAATCCTAACAGTAGTGTTGCTTAAAAGCTAAGGTTGGAGACATGGCTTTGTGAGATATGGACAAGATCACCCCTCTCTCAAGCTGCTTCTGCCAACTTCTGTTTCGTCCTACACCGTGGCATCTAGAACCGGGGTAGCGCAGTAGTTAGAGTGCAGTATGACAGGCTGACTCTGCTCACTGCCAAGAGTCTGATCCTGACCGGCTCAAGGTTGACTCAGCCTTCCATCCTTCTGAAGTTGGTAAAATGAAGACCCAGATTGTTGGAGGGATTAGGCTGACTCTGTAAACCGCTTAGAGAGGGCTGTTAGTCTATGTGCTATTGCTATTATTAGAAGAATGCCTTGAAATATCTCTAGTCCACTGTTCAAATTATGGGAATAAAAGTAGGGAAGAGGTTTAATGAAAATTATCCCCATGTGTTATCTAAATCATGTCCTATGAATATATTTTTAAGACAGAATCTAAGAGATCCAATCAAAAAGGGAAGAAACAAGAACTCCTTCTAGCCTCATATGATTTGAACAATGATCTAGTGACCAAATACATTGCCCCAAGCTTCTATATCGATGTGAAGCTGTAAGACATAATCATGTAAGAACAAGAGAGAGGGGATACTGGAGATGGCAAAAACGGTATTGTTAATGAACATCTTTGAGAATTTCTTAAGGGGCAGAAGAAAACAAATGTCAGGGATTCTTCTTCCTTCCCTGGTGATCTGCTAGAAAAGCAACTATGATTAATACAGAAGGCAGACTGGAAAGGGAACCCAACAGCATTAGCTACATCCCTTTAGAGTTGGCATCATGGATTGTACCACTAAACAAGTTAAAAACTAACAATAACGAAGTAAAAGCCAAAGCAAGGACATATCTTATTATTAAACATTGAGTTAATAATCAGAAAAACATTCAATGAAGTCTTATTTGAGTTTCTGAGACAATCTAGAAAGTTCTAATGTGAAAAATCTAGTTTTAGAATTCTGTGATCCTTGAATTACAAACCCTAGATTTGCAGCAATAGCTGAGTTATATAAAATATTTGATATCCTTGCATAGCATCAGGCTCCTGAACAGAGATTTGTCTGTTCACAAAGGGACTTACTTTCTCAGAGATGTTCTAGTTCTGCTTTCTGAATTTTTAGGTTTTTTTTTTTTTACTGAAAAGAAGAATAAGTTTTCAACCCATTAATAATAATAGTGCAATTAAACAACTTTTAACAACACATCTTTTTAACAATTAATATAATCAACATACTCTAGTCCCTTGAAGGAAAAATATTTGAATTCGCCATTACCTCAACAAATTCTAGCAATTTTTCAGTTGCCACCTCAAAGGTCTTCTTGGCTGTTTCAGATTTTCTTAATTGACAATCAAGCACAGTAATCCTCTTCCTTAAATCTTGCACACTCTCCTAGGAAAAAAAGAAATTAAACAAAAACAAAAACACTAGCATCTAAATATCAAGGTAGGGAGTCAACAAAGGAGCGAAAAGGCATTACCTGTACCAAGATCTGATCTAGCATCCCGACACATTGCAAAATAAACAGTTTTATAGTGGGGTGGGGGGGGTTCAAGTGAACTTGAAGGTGATTAAAATACTGGAGAAACTGATCCATATTTTAAAAGAAAAAGTGTAGTCCAGCACCCTTAGAGATGGTTAATTATTTCCTTAATTTGTAAACTTTTCATGGGTTGTATTTATTTAGCACATGGCATACAATGTCAAGGAAATCTACATACTCTAGACACACACAATGCAGTCCTGACAGTCTAGAACGCTAGTTCATTTTGTTCAGTGCTTAGGCATCTATCCTTGGCGCACCGCGGGAGGCGAACTAGCTTTACACCAACTGGGTTGTACATCTATCAATGACAAGTATAGGAAAAAAATAGGGCTTCCTCTACAAGCAGAGTAAGGAAGCCACACTGAGCGGCAGATATTCACAGTGAGGATAGTGTTTGACTGTGGTGTCAAGCTAGGGCAGTGGTGGCGAACCTATGGCACACGTGCCAGGGGTGGCACTCGGAGCTCTCTCTGTGGGCATGCGCGCCATTGCCCCAGCCCCGTCTCCCCCTGCGGCCCCTTCCTCTCCAGAAGCCCCCCTGGAGGAGAGTTGCCCCCAGGCGCGGCCTGCATGGAGCAGCGCAGCCAAGGACATAGCCGGGCAGCAGGGACAAGACTCCGCCCTCGTGCTCCATAACGTGCAGATGATGCTGCGGGGTGTGGGTGGAGGGTGTGGCTGCCATGGTGCTGCAGGGCTGCCTGGGTGATCTGCTAGGGTGGGCCATTGAGGCAGTGCATGGCCCTGTGGGCAGGCAGAGCAGGGGGCAGGTGGGGCAGAGCAGGCAGGGCGGGAGGCGGAGCGGGGGGCGGGTTTTGGGCACTTGGTCTCTAAAAGGTTCGCTATCACTGAGCTAGGGTGTAATAAGGTGAATTCAGAAACCTGTTTTGACATGCATACTATTTAAATATTAGCCATGGATATCCTGAGCCCTAAGATGATAAAAACAGTACAATTATACCCTCTTCCAAAATTACAACTTTATATTTAAATGTATCGTAGCCTATGGTATAATAATTGCCTCCACTTATTATGTACTCCAAAACAGAGTTCCCCAACGTTTCCAGCTTTGCGGACTGGTGGGGGGGGCAGAGAGAGGGGATGGTTCGCATTTGTGGCTGGCAAGCCACCGCGGCCTGCTGCTCGCACAAATGGAGCACGCGCGCAGGCACTCGCCTGCTGCTTGTGCAAGTGAGGATGCGTTCACGTGCTCACCGGCCTTTTTCGCGGCCTGATTGTAATCCCCTCACGGCCCACTAGTGGGCCGTGGCCCACAGGCTGGGGACCCCTATTCTAAAATCTTGCTACCCTTCCTCATGTATAGTTAATTCCAGGTTTTCATGTTACTCAGATCCATCCATTGGCATGTGTTTGTGTGTAAGACTTCAGTTAAATTTTCAATTCAAAAAAATATTGCTTCTTCATCTTCAAAAATTAGCATAGGGACACAAGGCAAACCAATGTCATTAATTATGATTTGATTATGCTGGAGGATTTACTTTTTGACTCCTCTAAAGATTAAATAGAAAGGGGTTTTTCTTTCTTTCTTTTTCTTTAAAAGACGGATTCCTGTATTATGACAAGCCTTTTTTATCAATGACTTCCCCAAAGGAAATTATTGTTACTTTAAGATAAAATTAGCACAAAACAAGGATCATTAAAATGACTCGTTCTCCAAGAACCCATGCTAATATTTGCTGCAGAGGGCCCTTCTTGAAGTTCTGGCGGCATCATTTTCCTTTTTGTATGAATGCTGATAGAAATAAGTGCTGCTGCATACAGAAGGCAACTCGTCTGAAATCTTGTCAGGAGGAAGTAAGGTACCAATAAAAGGTACATTAGGGAATATTTGCTAGTCATCTTCCGCAGAGGCATTCTCTTGTGTGCACTGAGCTCTTTTTTCCTCCCTTCCCCATCCTTTGTTAACTAGTTACAAGCATCAAACTACAAAGTAGCCAACTACCTTTGGCTATTTAGTATAATTATGGATGAATGTATAGGAACTGCTTGTGATAATGTAAGAAGCTAAGTTACAAAGCATCGTTATATGGTTTCGCTAGTTTGACTTCGTCAACCGGTCTCTGGGGTTATTGGCCTTATTTACGATTATGCATTTTTTTAAAAATAAATGTTATTGATTTTCTAGTTTTACATTTAAATATTTGAAAAGCAACGTGGTGGCTGAGTTGATCAATGATTCAATAACATACAAATATCTTTAATACGGATCTCAAATTATTACATTAAGTTACCTGCCTGAGCAAGGGGTTGGACTTGATGACCTCCAAGGTCCCTTCCAACTTCTTCTTCTTCTTCTTCTTCTTCTTCTTCTTCTTCTTCTTCTTCTTCTTCTTCTTCTTCTTCTTCTTCTTCTTCTTCTTCTTCTTCTTCTTCTTCTTCTTCTTCTTCTTCTTCTTCTTCTTCTTCTTCTTCTTCTTCTTCTTCTTCTTCTTCTTCTTCTTCTTCTTCTTCTTT